TCAGAGGTTAACAGTGATAACATTTTACACATATACTCCTTATCATTTATTTTCTATAGAGTGCATTTTAAGAATTCTTAAGGAAAAATGCACCGATGACTCTGTTTTCATGTTGTAAGATTCTTAAACACAAAGTCTTTATTTTTTAAGAGCACTCATGATGTAAACAAATATGCTTACTCTACCATATAACATTAGGATGAAGAGTAATTGAGCTCTTGGATATTTTGAAAGCAAAATTAATTATAGTATTCGAGATCCCATTTTATCAACCTACTTGCACAAATTTATTTCAAAAATGAAATGAGGGCACAACGTAGTCTTACATGTTTTCCCTGTGACATAATCTTACGTAAATATTCAGATATTTTCACATGTCTCAAATAGATGTATAGGAAAACTGTTTATGATAATACTCTAGCAAAAGCCCAGGATTGCTATTCCATATTATACTATCGTTCTGCTTTTGCCCTATCTAGCACGATCCAATGAAACCCAAAGAGTCCTTGTGGTGCTCAAAGGCAGGAAGACAGAGAGTACAAGGCAGGTGCCAGGGAAAGGGAGAACAAAAGGGAGAAGAGAAAGATGGAGAGGAGTGGGGAGAAATAACGTGCCATTAGGTGTGTTGGTTTTTTAAAAATTTGTTTATATTTAGGTTTTATTCGCATGTCTTTCAAGTTTCTTTTCTCCAAACTGAAAAATAATTATCTTAATGAATCTGCTACAACTTATTTATAACTTCCTTAGGAATGTCTTATTATACTCTACTTGAGAAATGAGTCTAAAAGAGTTAGTATTTAACAGAAATACTGACTTTCTGGGCTAAAGGCATGCACACAGTGTATACAATTTTTAAAATTTCTTTTTACTGTGCCTATAATTCAAAATGCCATAAAAAATGTTTAATGTCTTTTCCACACTTAATATACATGTTGCCCCATAATTTGCTTCAAAAATTTTAAAGGGGTTATTCAAGTGCAAATTATCCTAAAAGCAATGAAGGAGATGATTGCCAATAGTGAATTCACTCCCAGGATGCTGCTGCTGATTATCAATCAAATAATATAGGACTCTAAAGACTAAAGTTTCTTCTACCATCCCCATCCTCACTCTACTCCTCAAAACTAATCACTTATACTAGTTTAGTGGAAATATCTCTAGATGTTTTCTAGACATTCAATAGATACATGTTCATCTCCTGCTCTGTGCCATGTACTGTTGTAGGTGCTGGTGATACAATAATGCTCAAAAAACAAAAAAAAACAAAAAACAGACCAACTCTCTGCTTTCAAGGTCTTTACAGTTTAGTGGATGAAACATAAAGTGAATAAACAAACCAGTAAACATACAACATGATATCAAGTAATGGTAAGTGCTAAGAAGTTGATAGTAGGACAAGAAGACAGAATAGGGGTGTTTACTAGTTGAGTTGGGGGGGTCAGGGAAGCCCTCTTTACCTGAATACAGTGAGAAAATGATCCTCTCAAATATGGTAAGAGAGTCTAAGCAAAGCAAACAGCAAGTGCAACGACCCTAGAGCAGAAGCAAGCCTGGCAGGGTTGAGCACAGTTAGGGGGTCAGTGTTGCTGGAACAAAATGCGTAAGGGGAAACTAGTTAGGAGATTAAGGTAAAGACAGCGCTTGTGATGAGCTATGTAGGACTTTATGAATTAGGCATTGACAAGGTCTGACTCTAAAAGAGGCATTCTGGCTGCCGAAGAGAGACTAAAGGGGGTCAGGACAAGAACTGGGAGACCAGTGGGAGGCTACTGCATTTGGCCAGGAGAGAGATGATGGTGGCTTGGCTTCTCTCTCATTCATTGCTGGTAGGAATGCAAAACGGTACAGCCACCTTGGGAGACAGTTTGGAAGTTTCTTTAAAAAACGAAACATACTCTTACCATACAATCCAACCATTGTGGTCCTTGGTATTTACTCAAATGAACTAGAAAAGTCTGCATACAACTATTTATAACAGTTTTTTTGTAGTTGTCAGAACTTGGAAGCAACCAAGATGACCATGGTTGAATGTATAAACAAACTAGTATATCCATACGATAGATTATGATTCAGCAATAAAAAAAGAGCTATTAATACATGAAAAGACAGTTGGTGTTTAGACATAATAGCTAAAAAGGCATTTTAGTTCCTTGCAAATGATTTTTATATTTCAAACCAGAAGTACAAGTGATGTTCTCTATTAAGTGAATATTAATATAATGCAGAGTTGTGCCTTTGTCATCTATCGGATTTATAATCCATGCGGGTAGTTACCACATAGTGTTCATGAATGATAGAAATATTCTATCTCCTTAGCCTTTCTATTATTAGAAAGAGAGAATGAGAGAAAGAGAGAGAGAGAGATTGAAATTAATTTTAAGGAATTAGTTCACATGATTGTGGGGGCTGGTAAGACGGAAATCTTCAGAACAGGCTGACACTGGCTGGAAATTCTGGCAGGAGTAAATGTTAACAATCTTTAGTCTGAAAGCAGTCTGAAGGCAGAATTACTTCCTCTTAAGGGAATCTCTCTTTTATCCTTTAAGGCCTTTAATTAATTGGATGAGCCCACTCACATTATGGAAGGTAATCTGCTTTACTCAAAGTCTACTGATTTGAATGTCAATCACATTTAAAAAAACACCTTGACAGCAACACTTAGACTGATGTTTGACCAAATAACGGGCACTATACCCTAGCCGTGGTTAACACATAAAATTAACCATTAAAGAGGTATTTGTTGCTTTTTCAAAATTTGCTTTTAGTTATAGAATAACATATCTCATGCTTTCCTCTTTACACACTCCTTTATTCCTATATCCACAAATGAATTCACATTACTCTTTCTCCAAGATTATATGTTCATTCCTTCTTAATGAATGGCATCATGCATCATGATTAAGAATAACCATATTACCAGACTCTTAAGTCTCATATCCCTGTTTGATATCTCATTTCTGTATGCTGATTTTGTTGATGATCTGTCTTGGATAATTTATGAGTTTAGAACATACAGTCTTAAAGTCATCAACATCAAATTTTCAAAGAATCAATTGACCTCCATTACAATGTGTCTGTCATTCTACTTTGAGTAGCTGATAAAACAAGGCTGCAGGAGAATTCTTGGAGCTTGGTGACATCACAGGATTACACCACAATGACTCCCATTCCACCTGTCCTGTTCTGTGGTTTTATCTGATCACTAGATAAGAAATAATGGAAATAGCATAAGCCCTGAATTTTCAGACCATGTAGTGTAGTGACTTGCTGCAATGGGCTAAATGGGCTAAAATGGACAAAACGCAAAAAAAAATATTTTGCCTGGGGTTACAATGTCACTGTATTAAGGATAAATCAAAACCACCCAAACATAAGTTCCAAAAGAAAGTTAAAAAAGATACAAAGTAAGTATTAATCAGCATTAACTTCCAGTTACTTAAGGCTCTTCTCTCTTCATACGTATACATGTAGTTTTGTAACTCCAGCACTTAAGATGTGTATATTTTCTCATGAGTCATTTCATAAATGCATTTGTGTGGTAATACCATGAAAAGTAAATATTGGCAAGTGACTGTGCTCTGAATGTTTCTAGAAAAGAGCAGCACATAGAGGTCATCATATAACCTTTTTTTTTTAGTTTTTTTAAATTAATTAATTAATTTTTTTGATGTAGTGTTCCATGATTCATTGTTTGCATATAACACCCAGTGCTCTATTCAATACATGCCCTCTTTAATACCCATTACCTTTTGAGACTCTTTCTGGCATCATTGGGTGCTGTGGGTGGGCTTTCTACCTTTTTTGCCCTTTCCTTGGTCCCTGCCCTCTCAAGTTGGTGTGACTTGTCCTGAAGGCCTTAGCACACACTGTCATTCTGTCTTCCTTCCATCAGCTTATGATCCCTGGGCTTCACTCTGTACAAAGAGATTTACCTAAGCGAATGGAACCCCAAAGCCAAAACTAAAGTGCACTAAAAATAGCTCTGAGTTATCGGTGCGCTGACACGGATACAACAAAGTCAAGCAACAGACGAAGATGGCCTGTGTTCTTCCCAGAGGCAAAGCTCAATCGCTCGGTAGAGTGTTTTGTCATTTGTGGGGAGCCTTTCACACTGTCTTCCCTGTTCACACCTTTAGGAAGTTCTGGATCACTGGAGCTGACCAGCCTTAACGGCAGGTTCTACACCCCTCAGTCCAGTAAGTGTTGTCTATCTGGAGCTTCTAGAGGACAAGACAGCGCGGTGGTTTCACTTCCATTCACTACCCCCTCGTGCATTTGATTTCCTCACCCGCACTTCTAAACACGCCTGGTCTCCACCCTCAAGACAGCATCCACACTTAACTCAGGATGTCTCTCTCCCACTTCCGCTGCCTCTGTCACCTAAAATGAGCTTCCAAAATAATCTATTTATCTTTTTTCTTCACTTTTTTAACCTGTGATGTTGATCTCAGAATGAATATCTTTTAGAGTACTTGATGAATTGTTCTCTAAAATTTAGAGATAGCACTCAAGTAACACGTGTGAATGACTTTTGTAGACTCGAGGCCTTATGCAAGCAGCCTGTGCTAGCTCTATTATATATAAGCAAGATTAGTAAATGTGAGACGACTTTGATAGCTTCTACTCCCTGTTTTCTTTCCACTCCAGTTTCCTCCTTTCATAGCGGACATCTGCGTATGAACTCTCTTCTCCATTTTAGTTCTTTTCATTACCAGAATAGTGTATGAATTGATACCTCCAGACCGGTATCACGGTATCACGTTTGGGAAGCTGCAAAAGCTTAAGTCCGTTAGTGCTTGCCTTCAGAAGACGATCAATTTGAGAAATTCAGAGCTTTTCAAATGTTAATCCAATCATTTTTCCTTTCGTTTTTTAAGTAGCTTGTATTAAGGGATGATCAGAGAGTGATTTGCTATATTTTCAATCCTATTGCAATGTTTGTTTTGTTATCAGATTTTCTTCACTTTTTCCTAAAGTTTAATCTGTATACATTTTTGTAGAAGACTGCTGGACACCGAAGATGAGCTCAGTGACATTCAGACAGATTCGGTCCCATCAGAAGTACGGGACTGGTTGGCGTCCACCTTCACAAGGAAAATGGGGATGATGAAAAAGAAATCTGAGGAAAAACCAAAATTTCGAAGCATTGTGCATGCTGTTCAAGCTGGAATTTTTGTGGAAAGGTAAGTGAAATTGTTAGTATCTCAAGATGATAAAATTTGGAAGGCAGGAGATATACTCACCATATCAAAGTTATATGAGTCAAACATTTTACTTATTGAGGAACACTTCAATTATAAGTATACCCAGAATGAGCAAATTTAGAACTTTGTTATGAATTTGCCTTAACAAAAATGTTTTGTCCTGGGTTTATTACTTTTACTTCTTTTAAATTGACATAAAGACTGGGGCGCCTGGCTGGCTTAGTTGGTTAAGCATCTGGCTTCGGCTCAGGTTATGATCTTAGGGTCCTGGGATAGAGCCCCACTCTGGCTCCCTGCTCAGCAGAGAGTCTGCTTTTCCCTCTGCCTGCCGCTCTACCTACTTGTGCTCTCTCTCTCTGTCAAAGAAATAAAAATAAATAAATACATAAATAAATAAATAAATAAATAAATAAATAAATAAATAAATAAATAAATAAATTGATCTAAAGACTAAAAGCAAGGGTGCCTGGGTGGCTCAGGCGGTTGTGTCTGCCTTCAGCTAAGGTCATGATTCCAGGGTCCTGGGATAGAGCCCCACGTCGGGTTTCCTGCTCAGTTGGGAGCCTGCTTCTCCCTCTCCCTCTGCCCTTCCCCCCTGCTCACGCGCGCTCTCTCTCTCTCCCTTTCTCTTTCTTTCTCTCTCTCTCACGCACATGTGCAAATAAAATATTTTTAAAAAAGGAAAGACTAAAAGCAAAGACTTTTGAATGGCCAATGCCCTCAAATGTACCTTTGTGAGTAACTGTTTAAAAAATTATAGCATGTTCATGTGTTACACAACTAATTTTATTTGCATAAAATGTAACATTGCATAAAACAAATTCTGTACTACATGCTAAAATCAAACAGGCCTTTCTCTGCATTAAAGCAAAAAGACCATCCTCTTTCCATCACGGGAGAAAAGCTCCTTATATCTGCTTTTGAAGAGCTTTTGACATTTCTGTCACTGAAGCAAGGAATACTTGATGACCCCTAGATGCTCCAAATTGAATCACCATAGTTTCTCATGTGAAATACATGTTAATGTGGCCTAATTTTATATGTGTTTAGCCCTTTAAGATTACAGCCTATTTTTCTGTCTCGGAAACAAGATGTTCCAGAATTAAAACTAAATAAAATACTTGAAATGAACACGTTACATCTGACAATTTTTGAAAACTAGTTACTAGAAATCGCTTAGATTAAAAAAATTGCATTATATTAAATTATATATAAAAAGATGAAACATTTTCTAAACTAATAAAATTGAGGAAGAGAGTTTTTTTTGTCAGTGTGCTTACATTTAAGAGAGACCACATCATTTTTCATCTTCTGAGATCTCTATTATTTCTAATGAACATTATATACTTTAATTTTCCTCTGTTAAAGGAAAAATAGGAAACACATTTGGATTCCTAAAAATGTAAATGAGAATGCATTGCAAGAAATATTTGATGCCATTTAAAAATAAAACTACAGCACATAAAACTTGACGTTTCTTGTTTTGTGCTTCTACGATAATAACCACTCAGTGATTATTTAAATTATTTCGAGTATTTATTAACCATATTTAATTGGCTTTGATAAAAGAATCCTCATAATAAGCAATTTGATTAGTGTGGTGAGGTGATACCCACACCCCCTTATAAGGTGCATAAACTGGTCTCAACTCTGCCAGGTGGGACCAGAAGTCTGCAACAGGGAAGCAGGGCTGGCGAGAAAGAATATCCATAACCGTGTCGCCATTTTTTAAAAAAACAACTTAGGAAAGTGTATGACAGTTATTTATTTTCATTAACACCAAATTGAAAATATCTCAATAGTAGTTCAGAAAGTCAGTGAGAGAATCACCAATAAAAGAAAATATGTGTGATTTGCTGAAAGAATGTGTATTTTGTCTTTTTCAGGAAAATACTGTAGAACTTGGCAAACTAAAAAGGTTGCAAACTGTGGGAGTCAATTTCTATTTCCATCCAGTAAAAGATTAAGATTTCTGTAAAATATATTGATACGCTAAATTTTCATTTTTTTCATAAGCTACATAAAATATTTTATTTAATGGCCTGTAGAAATAGCAAATATACTTAAGGTAACTAAACTAGCAAGCGGTCTTGAAGAAATCAGTAAGTTACAAACATATGGAAATGAAATCTCTTTGATTACTCTTGTGTCCCCATTAGGAGGTGCATAAAAATAGGGGCATATGTTTATCTTGAATTTTCAAAATGATCATCTTCAATTTTGAAAATTAGAAAGCTTTCCTGAGTATTCTCTCAAGTCTCCCCTCCACAAGACTCTGTGCCTCCGCAGGTCCTGGCAGTTCATTACCCAGAGATACCTTGAATCAGCTCACTTTCCCATCTCCCCTCCTGCAACCCCAGCCCCCAGCTCTGTCACCTGCCATCAGAAATATGACAGTAGCTTTCCAGTTGGGCCCCCCACTTCCTCAACTGCCATTTCCAAACAAGTCATTCTACAGTGACGTTTTAAAATATAAATTAGTCCCTGTCACTCGTAAGCTTAAAACCATCTGATGGTTTTCCATTTCACTTGGTATTAAGGGCGACTTCTCTACCATGGTTTTGCAGGATTTGGCACCTTTTTACCTTCTTGCCTCATCAAATGCTACCTTCATTTTTGAGTGAATATCTATATTGCTCTGATTTCAACCCACATCCCTAACTCTTTCTCCCCTTGGGACCATAATGCTGTTATTCCCTCTACCAAAAATGATTTGCCCTGCCCTGCTCCTGGCTGACCCTTCCTGTCTTTCCAGATGCCTTCCCTTAGCACTCTGTACAGTGTACATCACTTTGTCTACCCTGACCAGTGGTTTACCTCACAGCAGTGAGTGCTGCTTGTTATCATGTATTTTTTTATTTATTGCCCCTCTTCACTGTTCAGTAAGCCTCACAAAAGCAGCAACTGCCTTTTTCTTGTTCGCCACTGGTCTCTTACCTAACACAGTGTCTGAAATAAGATAGTTTTTGGTTTTTGTGGAGTTTTTTTGAGTTTTTGAATTACACATTGCAACTCTAGTAAAGACTTCCAAAAAGAGTCCCCCATATTTCCAGCTGGACATTCACCACTTGCAGGAGTCCAGGAAATTCATTGTTCTTTTTCAGCAGCTTGTAATATATCTGTGATTTACTCAAGTGTGAGGTGGCTGTGTTAAGGTCTCCCCCACACGGATTCTGAAACGTCATCTTCATTTTTTTTGGTCCTAATATTCTATTCCTTATTATAGGATTAGAAGTTGATAATGGGGAACTTCCTTCATTTCCTCAGAAGGATAATCTTCTTGGTCTTGCTTTACATTCCATGTAATGAGAATGCACACTGACATTCATTCCTCAGATGTAGTCCAGGTCTAAGAGATCAGCACCAGAGTTCCCACAGAGCCCTGAGAACCCCAGAGAACCAAGAATTGCAGGCAACAGCCCTGGCTGCAGAGTAGTGAGAACAGTAACATTAATAATAATAATGGCTTTCTTGTATTGAGCATTTATTATATTACGGTAGACATTTATATCATTTACTCCTCACAAAAAGCTTATAATTATCCTCATTTTACAGATGAGTGACATTAAATAGCTTTCCAAAGGTCACATAGTTAGTGAGTGGCTAGTCTGTGATTTAAAGCATGTCTTCTCTTTGCTACATCCTACTGCTTTTCTGTGTCATGAAGTCACAGGGATTGAGAGTTACTTAATTTTTTTAATTTCTTACTACTGATTATTGACCTTATTTTCCTAGACCATTATCCTTTTATTTTCCCTGTCCCTCCATTTTTTAGTAATGATGACTAGAAAAATAGATAGAAAAGACTGTTGTCTCCAAAAAAACCCACACAATAACTAAATATCATTATTGACAATAATTATTTTCTGGGTCTGTTATAGTGCAATTACCAATTTTCTTGCCTGCAAGACTACAATAATTATGCCTATCTCAATGGAGTAATTAAGTATTTTTATTTATAAAATGCTCTGAAATCTTCCAAGGGAGATAGAGAATAAGGATAATTTTTTATTAAAACCAATTACCCACATTCAAACATTATTTAGAGTTATTTAAAATAAACATTAAATGGAAATAGTGAAATAAAGTAATAAGATCTCTGTGATAAAATGAGGGGATACTTTATCAAGGAAGCCTAGGCTAAAAATATACGTAAATGAAATTTTTTAATTCTGAGCTTTCAAGAAGTCAAGATTAAAAAGAGAAACATGAGAGGCGCCAGGGTGGCTCAGTTGGTTAAGTGACCATCTCTTGGCTTCGGCTCAGGTCATGATCTCAGGGTCCTGGGATGGAGCCCTGCATCGGGCTCCCTGCTCAGCAGGAAACCTGCTTCTCCCTCTACCCACTACGCTCTCTCTCTCAAATAAATAAATAAATCTTTTAAAAAAGAGAGAGAGAGAGAAACATGAATTATTTGGCACTTATTATCTTTAAAAGAGAGGTTTTACATAGATACTAAGTAATGTGTCTTATGGATTGTTAATCCATAAGGTACATTGAATCAAAAAGGTTAGTGTCTAGGAGTGCCTGGGGGCCTCAGTCGGTTAAGTGTATGACTCTTGGTTTTGGCTCAGGTCGTGATCTTGGGGTCGTGAGAGCAAGTCCTGCATCGGGCTCAGCACTCAATGTGGCTTCTGCTTGAGATTCTCTCTCCCTCTCCCTCTGCCTCTACCACTTGTGTTCTCTCTCTCTCTAAAATAAATTTTAAAAATCTTAAAAAGTTAGTGTCTTCTGTAGTCGTTTTATGAAATTGCAAAATATTTTCCAAATGATTATTCCTTATATTGACCTCCCTCATATAAATTAATGATATAATCATTAAATTATGACTTTGTTCAGGCATCTTGGGAGAAGTTACAACAGTATAGTCTAGGAATGTAGCTTGCCAAAGGACTAACAATATGAAAATGAAGGGACATGATTGATAGTTAATTCTTTCTTCCCAGGACATTGGGGAATGAACCATGTATCTTCCAGTTCTGAATGGAAGTCTATGCTGTTCTTACACATTGGGATATCACATTGGTTTTCTTGTCACATGAACTAATGGAAGAGTTTCATTTTTTTGGTTTATGTCATTTTGGTTGCCCATCAGAAGATCCAGCAAATTACTGATTAATAAAAATACTTTTATTTGTGCTGTTATAAAAATTGAAATAACTTCATTCTGCATAAGGTTTCTTAATTTTTATTAAATGATAATTTGAACAAACTTCAGCAATTTTTGTCAATATGGTCTGCCCTAGTATTTTTAACTTTAAAAAAAGGAAGCTGTATAAATTCTGCTACTACATATTCTCTCTTATAATTTCCATTTTATAAAAAGAAGAAGAAGAAGAAAGAAATCCATAAAGGAAATATTTTAATGACATTCAGCTTCCAGACCAAAAATTTTGGCACATTAATGGATGCAAAACAAGAATATTCTTCTGTCATTGATATGGTGGCATGCCAGAAAGCTTTGTTGCATATACAAAGGACAGTCTCTTTTAATAGGATGAAGCAAAGAAAAAGATGTCAATCATATTGACTTAATAGGGTGCTTGTGTGTAGACATATTCACATTAACATTTGTCACATTGTAGATTCTCAATAAATGGTGACCATATTTATTATTGTTGCCAAAAGAAAGCCTGTAACTAATGATAAAAGGTGAACATGCCAAAAGTAATCTTTTCCCTTATATTTAAAAAATAGTTGAAAACTTTGAGTAAATGATTCTTATATATACACTTATTTTTCTTTTTCAGGATGTACAGAAAGTCCTATCACATGGTTGGTTTGGTATATCCAGAAGCTGTCATAGTCACATTAAAGGTGAAATAATTTCAATTATTTAAATTTTTCAAATAGTCATTTTTAAAAAATCTTCTTAAAATGGCTGGGAGAAAATGAGAATAGGTCTTTGCTGCAGCTTATGTATTGGTACGTGAAAAATACTACAGCCACTCACAACATGTCATGTGTTCCAAATCATGACACATTGTAGACTTAAATGAGGATTGATTTACACTAACAAACTATGTCAATGCATATGCAAGTGTGTGCACACACGTATGTGATTTTTTTTTCTTCTTCATGCTTTATTTAGCTGGATCTTGAATTCAATTTTGAGATGGCACCAGGACTTGTCAGAATATACATATTTTCTTATGTATATATTGTGGGAAAGTTGCATGCACTAAAAAAAAGATGTTCCAGGACAAAACTTATATGAAAGAAATTTCTTTAGAATTTTAGGTCTGAGAACATATAAAAAGATAAAATTAAGAAAGAAAGCAAAAAGATATTCATCTCCCTTATCTCTGCTTTTTCTGTGGCTGAGGCCCAAATGCACTATTAAATGTTAGAAATAAGTGGAGTCAAAACTCTATAAAGTGGTGAAAGTTTTTGGTTCGCTTGTCTCCACTGCCTGTGTATGCATGAGCACTGTTCCTATTCTAAGCTCATCATTCAACATCCCTTATTTCTTTCTATCATTTAATTTAGGTGGAGAAATTCAAGTTTGTCTCCTCTAACAATTTCAATGTGGTTTTCATGTATCACCCAAGAATTTAAAGGACACTGGCAACAGAATATCCTGAGTTACTTTATTTTGGGTTTATTAAATTCCTTTTCTAGTTTAAATTTATATTGCTATTTATATTATATTCTTTTGTTAATTTCCTTTTACTCATCCCCTTTGCATTTGTTTTTTTTCCTCCTCTGCTGCATATTAGACTTTAATCTTATTTAAAAAGGTAGTTTTTCTTGGACACTTTTTTACATTTATGTTTCTAAAGCTATAAAAAAAGACAAGTATATAAGTGAAATGTCACATTATAAGATATTAATTACTCCTTGGATCTTGTGAGATTTGATTTCGTCAACAAAAATATTACTTATTTTAATTTTTTTATTTTAATAAAATATTTTATTTTATTTTATTTTAATAACCTTTACTTAGAAACGAACACAATATTTTAGTATGAGAGAAAGTAAACACTTTTCTAAAATATGGTATAAAAAATGTATAAACTAATAGGTTGAGGGAGGAAATATCACCAGTAAAGAATATTTTTAGTTAAATAGGGGCGCCTGGGTGGCTCAGTCATTAGGTGTCTACCTTCGGCTCAGGTCATGATCCCAGGGTCCTGGGGTCGAGCCCCACATCGGGCTCCCTGCTACGTGGAAAGCCTGCTTCTCCCTCTCCCATTCCCCCTGCTTGTGTTCCCTCTCTTGCTGTCTCTCTCTGTGTCAAATAAATAAATAAAAATCTTAAAAAAAGAATATTTTTAGTTAAAAAGTTCTTACTTCCTGAGATACCTTCTTGTCTTGTTTGTTCTCAATGAAGCATCTGCAGTAGTTTATAAATGTAAATCATCATTGTTGATAAAAATCCCCCAAAGTGGAACACTAACCTTTTATTCAGTGGGAAACCCCTAGAAGGAACTATAAATAGCAGCCTCCTAACAATCTGAACTAATTCTTTGGAATTTGATAAAAGATATTTTGGCCTCATTTGAGCTTTACTGATGGCAAAATGCCTTCTAACACAACCTTCAGAGATTTTAAACTTACAAACAGATAAGGCAAGTGTTTGGGAATCAAATCATGGCCAAATGGAAGGAATTTAACAAAAGCATACAAGCAAATAAAAAAATATCTTATTGGTGTTTTCAAGTATTTAAAAATACCATTTGAAGTTGCTATTAATATTTTCAAAAGCAGTATTTTTAAAGGAGACTGTTTGAATACTATTTATCAGATTCTCAGTTTAGTTTCAGCATGTTATATAGTACAGATCGTTGGCCTCTGTAAAAAATGTATTAAATGAATAAAGTTCTGAATAATCCCAGCTCAAATTCAAAATTAACACACAGTTTTAAGGTTGCCCTATTTAATACTAAACCTGCTGTGTGTATGTAAACACACAATTTGCTAAGAGTTTCTAATAATTATTAGAACTGACTGTTGTATTTCTTCAAATTTTTAAACTTTCAGTGATTTATTTGGTATTGGAGCTCCCACTTTACATGAAAACCTCCTTAGTGTATAGGACTGATATCACTTGTTACAAGTCCATTTTGTGAACCCCTCGACAAATTTTCAACCTGGAATTACCTAAAGCAAAAATCATGAGGGAGCTGGAATGGTTTGGCATAGTTCTCATTGCTTTCTCTCCCACCGTCAGTGGATTTTTTCCAAGGGTATGTATGTGTTTCCCTATAGGCCTGGCCACTTCCCTCAGGAATCGCCTGAAATGCTATAATTACTTTCCTCCTCCTTCTCAATCAAAAGACTCACTTCCTTTTCCTTTCCATCTGTCCCTGGAGGAGAGTATAAACGAATCAGCCAAGGTTAGAGTGAGTAATAAGGTAGTATATACTCTACCTTTCTAGGGTATTTGCAACTTAAAAGAAGACATAAAATATCAAAGCTTTAAATCAAAGGATTAACTCTTATGGTGGAATTTCAAGCCATGTAGAAAGTAGTGGGTGGGAAAGAGAAGTTGGGGCTACTTTCCCCTATCCCTCCATTAACATCACCCACATAACCTGTAATTCTACCTTAAAATGAAGCCCACTCTGGGCAAGTGATTTATGGCATGAATTTGAAGAGAGATTGAGAATAAGATCAGTATTATAGTGTTATCAGGTTTATTACATCAGGTTTGATAACTTTGGGATTAAGGGGAAGATTTTAGCATTTACATTACACCTTATGGCCTCACTTTTGTGAACCCATGGATACTAAGTGGCTCTTCATATCAGACACTGGAAAAAATATAGTCTGATGTTCTAACCTGAAATGTGACCTGCTAAATCTACAATGCCTGATCTCTCCAAGAATTTTTCATAGAAAGAAACAACTATATAATATTGCCATCTAAAGCATTTACTCCTTTTTTTTTTTACAGGATGTTGATAAATGGTCTTTTGATGTATTTGCCTTAAATGAAGCAAGTGGAGAACACAGTCTGAAGTTTATGATTTATGAACTGTTTACCAGATATGATCTTATCAATCGTTTCAAGGTCAGAAACATGGAACAAAAATGAAATGCTCTTAGAATTAGTTATCTGAATAAGAATGAAAATGCAGAACATCGAGTCATTAATCAATGCATTTTATAAGGTTTCTAGCTGGCAGGTCACAGAACTAGGGGGATGAGTTCACCACATGATATAGCCATTTCCCACAACTCACTGACATATAGCCACATGGACGTCGTGAGGCCATTGTCGCCTCATTCCAACAAGATACCAGCATCCGCCTGAATTACCCACAGACCAGTCATGTAGAGATTGGGAGCTATGTTTTTAAAAAATATGATCTTCTGTGTTCATAAAACACAGAATGAACCTTTCTTGGCAGCTTTACTTGAACTGAGATGAAAGGGCTTCTAATTAATTTCATTTTAGAGCCATTTAAGCAGCAGATTTGATCCAGATTTCTAAGCACTCTGCAACCTGTACCTTTCATCATTACCAATGGAATCATGGAAATTTTAGAGCTAGAAGGTGCTGGAAGGTCATTTATTTTAATCCCTTGTATTACAGATAGAAAAACTAGACATCACCAATTGTAATTTGGAATTTTACCCTTTTAAGAACTAGCCTTCTGTCTTGACTCTGGAAGATATAAACATTTAAAGACAACAGTATGTGTAAGATTGCTATTTCATCTTAGTTAAACACCTGGGGATTACGATCTGTTTTAGGATTGAAAGCTAACAGGTTAATGAAATAGTTTTTCAGAGCAATCTGCATTTAACCTCAAAAAACTACTGCCCACATCTGACTCACAATTGTGTCCCATCCCAAACATTGTTGTGCTCATGTTGATTTAGTGCTACTATTTTGGTCAAAATATAATCATGATTATTACTTTTTGCAGATTCCTGTTTCTTGCCTAATTTCCTTTGCAGAAGGTTTAGAAGTTGGTTACAGCAAGTACAAAAATCCTTATCACAATTTGATTCATGCAGCTGATGTCACTCAAACTGTGCATTACATAATGCTTCATACAGGTATCATGGTAAGAAAGTTTTTTATAACTGAAGTTTGTTAGTTTGGAACATTAAATTCCTTTCTCCTACATTGCCATTGTCCCACATTGCCATTGTCCCTTCAATACCCACAGGAGTATTATAAGTGATGATCTTTTGGATTTCTGAGGGTTAATGAGTTATTCATAATATACATTTTCCAAAAAATATTTTAATCCCATGAAAAAAAGATACCCAGAGGCAAATGTAAATATACTGCAAATTTTCCAAAATTTGGACTCCAGAACATTTTTGTTTATAATTTTTCCCCATAGGAGTCACCAGAAAACCAAAAAGTGACCTAGATAAAGTCTTGGGATAAAAGTTAGTTACAGTGCTCTTCCCTCATATTATCATGTTCTCCCAAGCTGACTTCTGTGGATTTTTCTCTTTTCCTTGCACTGATAATCACAATCAAATCCTAATAGGGATTTGGGAAGTTATTTATGTGAATTTTTCCAAATTCTCTTTCCTCTTCTTTGCATCTAAATGAATCAATGGATAAGTAAATAAATGATTCAGCAATGCAATCCCAGGACAACCACAAGTAGATGTTAGGAATTCTGACACTGCCTGGAATTTCTGTAATGTCTCAGAGTTTAGGAAAGTGAAAAAAAGGAGCAACTCTTTCTTCTAAGAATTCCACACTGAGGTGGGTTCAAAGGGGTATAGGCCATATGAGATGCCCAAATCTTGGTACCTTCTTGATTCCTTATGTGATTCCTTCAGCCTATGCTGAAGCAGTGCCATAAATTGCATTAAGGTAGAATGTTCCATCAAATCCCATAATATGCATTGCCTACTTATTTTGACTTCAGAAGTCACACACCTATTCTATTGGGTCATTGGCACTCAGATCTATGTAACAAATACTCTTTGGGGCCCAGAGATCCTCAGTACCTCATCTGTCCACACCAGAGACTATTCCTCATCTGGTCCCATGCAAAGTCCCTAGGGCCACAGTATGTTGTCCCGAAGATCTTGAAAATTTACAACAGTTACATGATTCTTCAACTTTATTATATACAGAAAATATTCATATTAATTTTATTTTTCCCCAAGAAACTATAGTGTGCTGTTTACTACACATACAATCCATTTGCTATGGTTCGTCCAATAGTGTCTCATATGATGATTGAATAAATTGTTTACTCTTCTTCTTCATCTTTCTTTGCCTCCAAAATGTTTGTACATCCATCAGTGCCTTGGGCTCAGATCCCACTCTTAACCCATGTTTCAATTATCTCTTGCTCCAAAAAAACTGTTCCAAAACTTAGTGGCTTAAAACAAAAACTTATCAATATCTCTCAAAGGTCTGTAGTTAGAAGAATCCCAACTATCAGGTTCTCACTTGAGGTCGTTGATGGGCTTACAGTTAGCTAAAAACCATAGCTGAAGACATCAGAGGACATCATTGGGCAAGATATCCATGGTGGTTCACTCACATAGCTGGCAGTTGATGATGGCTAATGTCTGAAAGCTCTACTTCTAATAAAGGCTTTTAATAAAGGATTTTCTTGGAATCTCACCACCCATTCAATAGAAATCTGCACTCTACCAGAAAATTACAAAAAAATACAAAAAAAAAACAAAAAACCTGCTTTGGGGTTAAGTCCTATTTGAGGGAGGCAGAAATCTCAAAAACCTTAACTGAGGCAGTAGCATGACCCCTTTGTGACCTTATAGAAGGCTGAACTGTATGTGTTGTCAACTTCATACCTTGTGTTTTCCTATTGTAAGGTATATATATGGGCATCACAGACTTATGGTATAAATGTGTCCATTGGCTGAGATCAAATGCAGTCATGGCTAGATTTCCTTGGTCCTTGATTGAAACTTACTCTTCTTTCCAGGAGTCTGATTTGACATGTAAAAGGAGGAAGTAAAAGTTAACAATAATAAATAGAAAATCAAGCATGCAAAAACATAGCTTTAAAATATTATAAGCTTTTAGAAAGCAGTATACGTAACCTTTCTTATAATTGTTTCTAGCATGTGTGCACACACCCAGAGAGAAATTCTTTTAAAGTTCCTTTGCTTTAATAAGACTTCACAGTCACAGCTGTTTCTTGAGCTCTTTGCCTACTGACAGCTGCAAATGTTGTTATCCTTGAAAAAGTCAGTTCAACATCTTCCTGGTTAGAGCAGCTTGCTGTTTCCTTTCTAAGGCCTTCGTCTTGAATCTGACAGTGAGATGGTTTTCATTTTAAGTGTGGCATGTCCTCTTTCATGAATTCTGTGGCTTTGAAAAAATTAACTGAAAAATGAAATGTTTAAGTGATACTCTGAAATGGAAACTGAGGTGATTAAGTTTCTTCAGAACAAGATGGGATGGAAAAGTAATGCCTACTTCAGTATAATCAAATATCCACTTTAATTATGAAATGCAGTGAGAAGATATATACCATTTTATGCTGGGAGGTAACCAAAATTTCATCGTTTAAAAATATGTTTCTGCTTAAGTACATTTTTTATTTTATTTTATTTTTTGCTATCAGTATAAAGGGAGCCAAAGAAAAGTCTCCTATTTCAGCTTCAGAACCTCTCTTCTGAAGGTGACATGGAAGGGATGAAGGATGCCATGTTATTGGTAAATAGAGAAATTCAAATCCACGGTGTGACTTTTCCCTCAGGCTTGTGAGGAGGACTTGTATCCAGATATAAAAAGCCATTCCAACTTCTCCAGAAGACAGGAAATCTGGCCCAGCCTGGCACAACTCCTAGAAAGTTGACATTAATAAAGATTACATAGTCCGTAACTTACCAATCATAAACAGAACTTTACTTTAGCAGATTTCATTGGGGAACTCATTTCTGATTTATTCATCCTTCAGCAGCAATGTGTCAGTGGGCTCTTTACTCATCCATTAGTTTGGCCGTTACAAAAATAGTCCAGTGGGAGACTGTCATTGTTGTCTGAGATCAGGAAAATACATTTAAACTACAGGAAGTAATGAGAAATTTTATGATCGATGGTAAAAAGGAAAGCAAAATGAATTACGACTTGATTGCCTATGTTGCCAAAACTAGGTTTCACAGCCAGCTTGATAGCTTTAAGGAAGTTGTTTTAACAAGCTTTTCTTTAGGTGACAAAAGTAGTGGCAGGGGAGTATTAATTTTCACACAGATGAATGTGTTGGTTCTTTGAAACAACAAAAATGTATTATAGAAATACTCATGTAGGTGAAACTCCTTGGATTTGATATGGGGAAGACTAGGTCACCGGGTTTAGTGCTTTCATTGATCCCCTGCCATTTCAGAACGGTCTTATCCGTGTGACATTTCTGGAGCACTCCAGTGGTAGCCCCAAACTGTCAGGTGACTAATGCAGCCTGCCCCCTGCAAAATGTTCTGAGGACCAGTGCCTGAAGGGGATTGTGATGAAGCTATTGTCCTTCAGTTTGTTACTGTCACACGGAATACCCTCAGCCTGGGAGGAGACACTGCAGAGGAGAGTTGATGCTAGTACACCCTCAGTCTGTCTCTCTCTGTCCTTTGACACTTAATTAACTTGTAGCCTTGTGCCAAGGTGACAGGGGTGTGTGGTAGCTCAATCCATTTGCTAAAGAGCAAATTGCTTCACCAAATGCTGCCAAGCTACCTCCAAGTGTCTCTCTGAATTTGAAATCTTCCGAGGGCCTTGGTAAGGGAACACTTGCATTTAAGGGCTCCTGCCCTTGTGTTCTAATAGTAAGAGTAGAAGAAAGAAAGATGACGTGAGGTCTATTTCCTTTGGAAGTTGTAGTCCCCTGACCACACCCAGAAATAGCCTCCCACACTCTGGAATGACTCAGTTTTTCTCGAGTCAATGTACAAAAAATATGCCACGATGTCTCTATTCTACCAACTATGTGGAAATTCTGTTCTTGCAAATGGCATCCCAGACAACAATGTTTGGAAGAGTAGAAAGAGTGCAGGCTTTCAAGGCAATCAAGACATAGGTTTGAAACCCTGCTCTACCATGACCTAGATCACTCACTCTCTACCTTGGTTTTCTTGTCATTAATATGTGGCTAATAATACTGACCACCATGTAGGATGACAGTGAAGAGTCAATGATATCATATATATAAAGCATCTAACCTAGTTCCTGAAACATAATAGGTATTAACACGCATCCTAATATCAATAATAATTGTCAATTTATTTTTGTTATATATTATATTATGTGTATTATGTATTAACATTATTATAACACTCACTTTCTATACTGGATAAGTTATAGCAAACTGTCATCCTATTCAAAGGGCTAGAGAAAAAAGTGTCCAACCCCATAATTTAGCTAAAAGAGTTGTTAATTATGCTGTTTTAGACACACCAGGAACTAATAGGTCAATGTGATTTTCTGACCTGAAATTCTCCCAACCTTAATATACACACATACACTTTCTCTCTCTCACACACACACTGAATAATTCAGATATGAAAATTTACATCACAAGTCTTAAAGCTCTATTTAGAGCTTCTACCCATCAATACACCCAGTTAAACTAACTAGAAATTCTGCTTCTGAAACCTTGGAAAAATGTATTCTGCATATTGCCTCCCTCAAGTAATGAATGCTGTCATCATCCATAGAAGGAATATTGTGATCTCCGGAAGGAACAGGAACTTTGGAATCAGGTTTTGGGTTGAATTCCTGCTCGGCCACTTGATAGCTATGTAACCTTTGGTAGGTTGACCCAGTTCTGTAGGAGTCAGCTTTGTTGTCTGCCAAGTAAAGATAAAGACATTCACCTCATAAATGGAAAACAGCATGGTTCTACAAATCAAAAGAGACCGTCTAGCTAAAATGTTCCTTCTCCTTTCTTTCTGACATCATTATAAAAACTATTGATGGCAGTCAGCATCTCCCTAGGATATGATTTGAGACTGCTCATTTTAGAGTTGGTCTACCTGAGCATTTCTCTGGACAAAATGCAAACTGCAGTTTAGAGGAAGCACAGTGTCTGCACTGCTCATAACTCATCATTGTAACTCTTTACTTCTGCCCATGAGCAACCAGAAGCATGTAGGCTATGTACTGGCCACTGTGCTAGTTGGGAGGAGTGATAGGACTCAGCTTTATTCTCCCTAGCATGTTCTCATGAATCAGTTACAAAATCCATGAATTCAATCATTCATTTTCTGAGTTGGAATTCTCATTTGGCACCAGTGTAAAATGAATGAACAGCTAAGGAACTAAAATTCAGCCCAAAATTCTACTTTTCACTAATACAAAATAGATGTGCTTTTAAACTGGGTGAGAGCATTCAACATTTCACTCTCTTCAAACTATTTTATAATTTTTTTTAAGATTTTATTTATTTATTTGACAGAGAGAGACACAGCAAGAGAAGGAACATAAGCAGGGGGAGCGGGAGAGGGAGAAGCAGGCTTCCCGCGAAGCAGGGATCCTGATGCAGGGCTCGATCCCAGGACCCTGGGACCATGACCTGAGCCGAAGGCAGATGCTTAACGACTGAGCCACCAGGTGCCCCCAAACTATTTTATAATTTAAACTTAATTATTCAGGCCATAGTGTGGCAATAAATAAGAGGGATTCATGGAGGAAGTACTATTTATGGGAAGCAGAGAATAATGAGACTAAAAACAGGAAATAAGTATAATCAATTTTGACAGCTAGGAAGATAATAATTTTAAATAACTTATGAGATAATCTATAATTAAAATCCATCTCTGCTGCCCTAATTTAATGTTTTTTACAATTGCAGCTTCATATTCTATATTATTGTAGATATTAAATATTGCTCTTTTTAAATCAGAGTTAAATCTGTAAATCTTAAATATATCAATAAGAAATACATAAGGGGCATCTGTGTCCAACTCTTGGTTTTGGCTCAGGTCATGATCTCAGCGTCCAGGGAGCAAGCCCTGCGTCGGGCTCCACACTCAGCGAGGAGTCTGCTTAAGATTCTCTTCTCTTTCTGCCCCTCCATCCAATGTGTGCCCTCTCTCTCTCTCTCTAATAAATAAATAAATAAATAAATAAAATCTTTAGAAAAAATAGGATATACTTAAGAAAATTGGTGACTTGTTCCTAGGATCATTTTTTTTTAAATAAAACAATGAGTTTCTGGGGGTACAAAACCTGGTTTAACTTCAATTGCTATTCATTTCATGGTGTTTAATTCCACAGTCTCACTGGGGACATTGAGGTTTCAGTCCCACTTCAGTCTATAATAGAGGCCATTCTTCCTTTTAATGACTCACAATTAAATGAACCCATAAACACAAAATAGCTAGTTATATTAACTCCCATTGGTTCTGAAAATCATTTCTGCTTCAGTTATCCAGCTGTGAGACATTTATTCTTGAATTGCAATCACTAAAGATATGTTAGCTCACTATTATTTTCTAGACTCAATGCCTTCTACAGTTCATTTAAGGTAATAAGTTCAGTAAAATGACATTTTCTCTGTATTTTACATGACAAGATTTGTGAAAGGCACAGTGAATAGATTAACTTAAAAACTTCTCTTAAAATTCCACAGGGAATGATCACTAACTCTATTTTCATTGGAACTGTGGCTGAGAGGGTAAATAACTTATTTGCCTCAGGGTCAACAAAGATTTGAAACCAGAATTGTCTGATTATACATAGCCTCTTTCCACGACTCCTTACTACCGCCTCCTAATGCAAACCTGGTAGAATTCAAGTCAACAGACAAATATTAAGTTCCTACTATGTGCCAATTACTATGATAGGTTATGTGAAGAGGAGCAAAGATTAATACAATCATACCTTTGTCAATTATGAAATTCAACAGTTGTCACCGCTCGTTTTTGACTCATGGACCTACAATGGCTCCCTCTTGCATTTTATACAAAATCCAGATTCATCAGCTCTAATCAAAGTAGTCTATCAACTCTTCCCATAATCTGCACTCTCTCCCCATTCTCATTCCACTCAACACTCCAACACAGTTGTACTATTGGCAATTCAACTTCCATATGGCCTTCTATAGTAACATTCTGCATTTGCTCTTTCTACTTAGAATACCTCTGTTCCTCACATTGCATTTAGGTACTATTTTTGTCCATCCTTCTTCCAAGATTACTGCCACCAAATAAACATTCTATCTGCCCTTCAATTATATCTTTTTCTGTGACCTTTTATCAAGTATGCCTGTAGTTTACATTATATTTTTCTGTTGCTTTGTACAATTTAATTGTTTCAAGTATGTGGAATGAGACTACTAAGAGCAAACTCCATATCTTTGGGATCCTCCATTCCTACCATCAGGTACCACCTACTTGCACCTGTATCTAATAGAACTTTCTGTGATGATGGAAACACTTTGCATCTGCACTGTTCCATACGGTAACTACTTGCCACATGTGACTACTGAGCAGTTTTAATGTGGCTTCTGTGCCTGGGAAAGCGACTTAATTTTACTTAATTTTATTTATTTTCAATTTAAGTGGTTGCCTGTGGTTACCATAATGGATAGTGTAGTAAAACTGTTACGCAAAATTTCAGTGATGAATAAACTACCACATTACCTAAGTAGACTTATAATAGCAGAGAAATTTTGTTAAACCATCCAATTGATAACAGAAAGATCAATGTATATGAAGCAGGTGTTCGGGATTTTATATGAAAACACTTGTTCAATCTTTTATTTTTAAGTTTAATTGCACATTCAGGATATGTGTGTTGTGAAGAACAAATTTGGTAAATTCTTAGAAACTCTTACAAATCTTAATATAAAATATATAAGTGAAGTTCAGTTCTCTAATGAGCAGAGTGAATATTTTCCAACTCTTAGGTGAAAAATTTCCTCATAGTAGGGTCTTCTACAAAAGTTGAGCTAAAGATATTTTAATGGTGTATGGGTCCTTATGTTAAAAACTACTAAACTAAAAAAAAATTACTAAACTGTAATTGATTTCATGAAAACCCAAATTCATAAGTCTGTGAATTCAAAAATCCACACAGGGTTTACCTTTTAAGTCATAGAAAATTACTCCTTTTCTGATTGGCAAGGAACATAATAATGTCTGTATTTTGAATTTATAAGCCATGAAACAATCATTGACCACATGAAGCATCCATTATGTACAATCAACAAATGTGAAAACAGGAAGGAAAAATGTACTTAAAATCAATAAAAATAATTTAATATATTTATATGATTACTTACACTGGGTGCAATGAAAATCTCCTTTGTAGAAATACAACATGGCCTCTGCTTTCTAAATATGATAGTATCTTTCTTTAATTTACTAGCACTGGCTCACTGAACTGGAAATTTTAGCAATGGTCTTTGCCGCTGCCATTCATGATTATGAGCATACAGGAACCACAAACAACTTTCACATTCAGACAAGGTAAGTTATATAAAAGTACTAACTTTTCTAACTTAAAACTTGAAACTTATTTTTCTACATATTATTTTTAAGAAAATTTAAAAATAACAGTGAAGATGTCTAGTAAGTAGTTTTAATGGATTTTAATAAAACTCCTTAAGCTACAAACAATCAATTATTGATCAAGAAAACTGTATAAATATTTAGTGACATATTTAGCAATTTAAAGAATGTAAAAATGTGTCAGATAATTTATCTTTGACCAGAACTTATACTTTGAACTATCACACACGCCGGACATCTACTGACTGAGATGAATCTCGCAACATATTATTTAAGGCATCAGTTTAGTATCATTATGTATTTGAAAGTAATAAAATTGTGCTTTTGAAAAAAATCAAAGAAACCTTATTTCCTGTTTAGTGTGAAGTGCTAAATTTAAAATAATTAGAAAATGAGATTTTTTAATGATGGTAATAATGGCAGTTATTAGAATCAAAATACCAGAGTGGAGATACATCTGCCTGCTAGGACTGTTATCACAAAATCACAGATTGGGTGGTTTAAAGACAGAAATTTTCTCACAGTTCTGAAGTCTAGAAGCCCAAGAAGTGTCATCAGGTTTAGTTTCTGCAGAAGCCTCTCTGCTTGGTTTGCAGATGGCCACCTTCTCACTGTGGGTACACATTCCTCCTATCTCTTCTTCTTATAAGAACGTCAGCCATATTGGATTAGGCCACACCCTTATAACCTTATTTAACTTTAATTACTGCTTTAAAAGCCTTATCTCCAAATACAAGTCACATTCTAAGGTAAAAGGGGTAAGGACTTCAACATATGAATTTTGGGGAGACATAATTCATTTCATAACAGAAAGGTGCTCTGTGTTCTTTTTGGTTGCACAGAGGTCTCAGTGTCTGGGAGGCAGAATGTATCTAGGACCCACCATGATTCAACTTTCTATACATAAGATCCTGACATTTCTCTAAGTCTTTCACTTGTCAGAGATGCTTGAGATGGAGATGGAAGTTGAGAGACTGATGTTTCTCTGGAACTACTGTAGAACCCTCCAGTCTTATTAAGGGAAATCTAAATCTATTTTTTTGTGTTTTTTTTCTCCTTTTTTAATTAATAGGCTTTATTTCTTAGAGCAGTTTTAGATTTATAGAAAAACTGAACAGAAAGTACATAGTTCCCATATACTCTCTTTCCCCACCCCCACAGTTTCCCCTATTGTTAAATCTTGCATCAGTATGGTACATTTGTTATAATGAACCACTATTGATACATTATTATTAACTAAAGCCCGTAGTACACATTAGAGTTTAGTCTTCGTGTTACACATTGTATGGGTTTTACAAATGTATAATGTGTATAATGCTATGTATCCACCATTATAGTGTCATACAAATAGTTTCACTGCCCCAAAACCCCTGTGCTTCACCTATTTATTCCTCCCTCCCTCCCTACCCCTTTACACCTGACAACCACTGGTCTTGTTAATATCTTATAGTTTTGCCTTTTCTAAAATGTCATATAGTTGAAATCGTATGATATGAAGCCTTCTCAGACTGGTTCCTTTCACTTAATATGCATTTAAGGTTTCTCAATGTCTTCTCATGGCTTGATAGCTCATTCATGTTCATTGGTGAACAATATTCCATTGTATGGATGTGACAGAGTTTGTTTCCTTATTTGCCTATGAAGGATATCTTGGTTACTTCCAAATTTTGGAATAAAGGTTATGAATAAAGGGGCTATCAACATTCATGTGCAGATTTTTGTGTGGTCTGTTCATTTGCTTTTTAATGGCAATATTTCTAACAACTGATTTTGCAGCTATAGGAGATTATTTTTTTAATGTGGAGATCATAGGACTATTTGTTTAAAAGGTTAGACATTTTTAGAGCTTTCAGTGACTAAAGTGACAGAGAGCCACATTATGGATCATCTAGTCAAGGCCTCACAATCTAAGGAGTGAAAACTAAGACCTCAAGAGGTGAAATGACCAATCTGTGTGCACATAGCTGGCTGATGGCAGTGGCAGAATTGAGAAGCCAAGAGGAGGGACAATCCCAATCCAGTCTACTCATATAACTCTGACCCCATGTCCAAGGCAGATGCATGCGAGTTCCGGTCTTCTGTAGCCTGGAATAGGATGGGCTTAGATAACGTGGCCTCTTGATAGAGACAGAGGAAGAGTTGGAATTCCAACAGTGAAATATTGAGGAAAGTGTTCTGTCTATCTCCAGAGTCCCTGAGATTGACAGATTAGAAGGGGAAAGGCAGACCTGGAGGTCTGGTCATGTGCAAGAGGATGTTATTAACCTATGCATTTGCAGAGTAGAGGGAACTGTTCCGTTTTGGTGTCAAACATCAAAGCAAATGTAGACCGTGCAGATCATTTTTGTTTGTCAAAGACTCTTCTACAACCACGGAATCCATAATGAGTGAGATTTTAATTAAAGACGGCTCATTACTGAGCTGGGCCCTGTATAGGACAACAGTTTTAGCAGTTGGAGAAGGGGACAAGTGATTGGTTACCCATGAACACTTCTTGTTTCTACTTTGAAAAGTGAAGGCAAGGGACCAGCCTTCTCCAGCAGCAGTGTTGGGCCACCACTCCAGCTTTCTCCTTACCATCCATTTACAACTGATGAAGAGTCCTAACTTCCTTATTCTTTGGACTGCAAAGAAGGAGAGGGAAATGGAGAAAGAGAAGAGGTGAAAGAGGAGAAGGTGGAGTAAAGAAAGAGGAGAGGGAGGAAGAAGAATTCATTTCCGTCCCCAATTTTACATTAAGAAACTCTGCATATAAAGGGGAGAAAAGGTCTAGTATTTTATTTATTTTCTTATAAATTGCCTACTGGGATCAATTTAAAGGATAAATTATACAAAAATTTGAAAATTCTATGAACGAAAATGTTGTAATGACCACAACAACATAATGTGCTTTTAAAACTCTATCACCGTTACATTTTGTCCAAGAAAAAATAACGTCTGATGTTACAAGTATCAATAACTCAATTGTATTTTATATTACTCATTGTTACTTGGATTTAGAATGCTTTTCTGATGTAGAAAACTATACACTGGATAATACAAAATAAAAAATAATTTAGAACATAGTACAATGCTAGATTTGAGTTCAGTACAGACGTTATAATTCATGAAATCCTTGAAAGTGTAAATAAATGGAAATAATTTCTTTTTTGTGAAAAGAAAATACCGAGCTACATGTTACCATGGATACTGAATGTTGCTTAGAGTTTTGTTCTTTTCTTAGCAGTCAAAGACCATCTCAAACATTAAGATGGTGCTGTATTCTCAGAATCTTATTGGATTTATGAGACAAAATCATAATAGTTTGCTACAATTAAATCTGGTTCAAAGATACATCTTTGCTTGCTGCTGAAAGTAAAAGACAGTGATACTTGGAGCTATGTCATGTAATTACACTGCCATGGCTAGATTTGAGGCCATATGATACAAATGGTATGTGTTTTACATGTCAGTTTTTCCCATGATCTGAGTGAATTTTTGGAGATACTTGGGCAAGATATATTCAGTTCTTTCTTAAACAAGGTTTGCAGGTGTACTTTTCTGTATACGGAGTTATGATTATTGGCTAAAGAATTTTTAGGCCATGGTTGAGATTCAAAGAAATCTATTTTGAATTATGTACCATTAGCTAACTACATATGTTTTTCTACTTTTATGACAATTCTAGAAACAAAAGATAATTGTTCTGCGTCATAGGTCATTTCGCCTATGTTGGATTAATAATAAAGCTTGGTTTATTTAGTAGATTATTAGATACAGATCTCAAATAGGTTACTTGCAACCAAAACCAGGTTTCTTTAGTTCCTTCATTTATCCTTGCCTATTCTTTGGTAAACATTCAGTGATAAATAACCAGTTCTATAACCAGGACTACTGACTGAGAAGCCTAAAACAGTAAGTCTTAGTGAGGCAGTTTTCGTGCTGACAGAATATATCTACCACAAGGAAGGAAAAATGAAGAGTCCGGGCATTGCAGCAAGTGGAAGCAAAGTTGCACAGGTTTTAACTTGACTTTACTTTTGCTATTTTTGTTGCCTCCAGTTTGGCAACTTATATGGGTTGATTTACCATTTTAATACATTATACATAGTGGTCCTGCTTCCATTCCACATTTGCAAAATGATCTGGCAACCTAAGAGGATAGAGGAAGAAGCCAGGGCTCCATTATACAGATCTGAGAATGCTTGGAATATCTCATACTTTATTCTAGAATACTAAGTTAAACAATGCTACAGTATGAAGTAGTTTATTTGCTCAAATGATGTGAAAATATGGACAGGTGAAAAGTGAAAAACTTCCCTTGATGAATTCATCATTTTAAAATATAATTTTCATTATAAATTGGTGGTAAAGCACACATTTTAAATTTGGGGTTTTTTTAATTTAATGCTGCAGGATCTAAACATTCAAATTGAATCACAACATTATAAGGGAGAAAAAAACTAAAATCATAAATAGAGCAAATGATTTTCATCACCCCCTCTGCCCTCCATCCAAAGTAATGTTAGTCCAAGGGAATAAGAAATAGTTGGCAATCAACTATCTGGAATGGGTTGATTCATCAACAGAGGGATTGATTCATTCAATGATTGGATGAGGATATCAGGTAATTTTTTTTCTTTGTTTGGCATATGTAGATTATCTCACAGGTATCTGGATTACAAATTGTAAGGAAAAGGCATAAGTATATTCAAACTATGATAATTAAAAAGAAATAAAGCACTATGACCAAATGGGATTTATTCCCAAGCTCAACATTCAAAAATCAATTAAGGAAATCATCATATCAACATGTTAAAGAAGAAAAAATACATGATCATATCAAAATGCAGAAAAGGTGTTTGACAAAATCCAACACATTTATGATAAAAATGCTCTGCAAACTAGGAAGAAAGGAGACCTTTCTCAACTTGATAAAGATCTACAACAAACTGACAACTAACCTCACACTTAACAGTGAAAACCTTGAAACTTTCCCACTAAGGTCAGGAACAAGGCAAGGATATTCTTTCTCACCACCTTTTTTTTAACATCATAGTGGAAGTACTAGTTAATGCAATAAGGCAATGAAAGGAAACAAAAAGTATAGAGATTGGGAAAGAAAGCATAAAACTTTGTTAGCAAGTTACATGATAATCTATATAGAAAGTCCAAAAGAACTGACAAAAAAATTCCGAGAATAAGCAATTATAGCAAGTTTGCAGAACATAAGGTTAGCACACAAAATTCACTTTCCTATATGCCAGTAATGAACAAGTGGAATTTGAAATTAAAATCACAATATCATTTACATTAGCATCAAACATTGAAATATTTACGTATAAACCTAACAAAATATGTATAAGATGTATATCATGAAAACTATAAAAATCTGATGCAGAATTCAAAGAAGAACTAACTCAATGTAGGGATATTCCATGTTCATGGTAGGAAGACTCAGTGTTGTCAGGACGTCAGTTCTTCTCAACTTGATCTATAGATACAATGCAATCCCAAACTTCCAGCAAATTATTTTGTGGATGTTGACAAGCAGATTTAAAGTTTATATGGGAAGGCAAAAGACCCAGAATAGCCAACACATTCTGAAAGAGAAGAACAGAATTGGAGAATTGATACTATCTAACTTCAAGACTCACTATAAAGATACAGTAGTAGAGATAGTGTGGTATTGGTAAAAGAATAGACAAATAGATCAGTGGAACAGAAGAAAGATGCCAGAAATAGACACACCTAAAATATAGTCAACTGATCTTTGATAAAGGAGCAAAGGCACTGCAATAAGCCAAATACAGTCTAGTCTCTTCAACAAATGGATCTGAAACTACTGAACATGCCAAAAAAAAAAAAAAAAATCGAGACAGAGACCTTATTCTCATCACAAAAACTAACTCAAAATGGATAGACCTAAATGTAAAATGCAAAACTATAAAACTCCTAGAAGTTAACGTAAGAGAAAACCTAGATCTTGAATGTGGCGATGACTTTTTAGATACAACACTAAAGGCAAAATTGACAAAAAATAATTGATAAGCTGGACTTAATTAAAATTAAAAACTTATGCTCTGTAAAAGACAATATCAAGATAATTAGACCATCCATAAAGTGGGGGAAAATATTTGCAAAGGATATAAAATATTTGCAAAGGATAAGGGACTGTTATGCAATATATACAAAAATTCTTGAAACTCCACAATAATAAATGACCTGACTTAAAAATGTGCTTCAGCAGACACCTCACAAAAGAAGATACACAGATGGAAAATTAGCATATGAAAAGGTGTTCCACATCATATGTCATCAAGGAAATGCAAATTAAAACAATGAGATATCACTACACATCTATTACAATGGCTAAAATCTGGAACACTGATGACACCAATTGCTGGTGAAGATGTGTAGCCACTGGACCTCTGATGCATTGTAGTGGGAATGCGAAATGGTACAGCCATTTGGGAAGACAGTTTGATAGTTTCTCAGAAAATAAAACATAGTCTTACCATACAATCCAGCAATCACACTCCTTGGTATTTACCCAAAAGAGCTGAAAAATTATGTCCACAAAAAAACCTGAACATGGATATTTATAGCAGCTTTATTCATAATGGCCAAAACTTGGAAGCAACTGAGAAATCATTCAGCAGGTAAAAGGATAAATTGTGATAGATCCAGACAATGAAATATTACTTGGTGTTCAAAAGAATTGAGCTATCAAGCCATGAAAAGACATGGAGGAATCTTACATGCATATTACTAAGTGCAAGAAGCTGGTCTGAAAGGATTACATACTATATGATTTTAAGTATATGATATTCTGCAAAAGCCAAAACTATGGAGAAAATAAAAAAGATCGGTGGTTGCCAGGGGTTATGGGCATGGGAGGGATGAACAGACCGAACACAGAGGATTGCCATGGCAGTGAAAAGACTCAGTGTAATGCCATAATGTTGGATGCATGTCATTGTACATTTGTCCAAAGGCACAGGATGTAAACTATGGATTTTTAGTGATAATGATGTTCAATGTGGACCTATAAATTATAACCAATGTACCACTCTGGTGGGGGATATTGATAATGAGGGGGTGGTTTTACATGTCTGGGGTGAGGGGGTATATGGCAAATCTCTGTACCTTCTGCTCAATTTTGCTGTGAACCTACAACTGCTCTATTTTTTTTTAAAGCTATCATATGGTTAAAAAAAAAAGGAACTAAGTACTTCCATAAATGTAGGTGTTCGATTATAGAATTCTTACTGATGAGTTATCTTGTGACTTGAGTATATTTAGCAAACACTCGTGAAGTCTAAAAGAAATCCTCTACTGGACATTTTGTTTTTAATTCTTAGGTCAGATGTTGCCCTTTTGTATAATGATCGCTCTGTCCTTGAGAATCACCATGTGAGTGCAGCTTATCGACTTATGCAAGAAGAAGAAATGAATGTTTTGATAAATTTATCCAAAGATGACTGGAGGTGAGTTTCAAAGGAAGCCCAGAGGAAATTTAATTTTAGGAAAAAGTTAAATTATGTGATTTAAAGTGAAGAAAGTCAATCCCTCACTCATATTATAAAAATTCCCCTTGACTGGATGACTCTGAGAAGGGTTAGTACCTAGAAGATGTTGAGGAGCCAGGCTCTGCTGGTTGGAGTTGAGCTATTTTCCAGGTTAATTTCACATCTGTGTACATTATAGCCAGTCCACAAGACTGCATACCACACAACACATACTTTAGGATACATAATGATGTACTCTATGGAATGGAGCTCTGCTTAATTGTGGTCCTAAATAAATTCAAAATCTTAGTGTAATATGGATTCCTTCATATTCCTTCATATTCCTTACTTTTCTATATGTGGAGTTTAGCTGTTTTAAAAAATAAAAAAAAATTCACTGTTTGAGGAAAACAATTACAAATATATATACTAAAATGATGCAGATGCAGAGGGAAATCTTACCTGTTTCTCCAAGGCATCCATCTGCTTGAAAAGAAAAAAATCATAGATCAGTGATACTTGTTGCCACATAGAGGGAAATAACAAGATGTACCCCTACAACTCGGCATAACTTTTCCTTCTTCTTGATCCTTTGGTCATCATCAGGCCTTTCATTTAACTATAGGGCTGCCAGATATAGCAAATAAAAATAAGGGATGTCCAGTTAAGTATGAATTTCTGATAAACAGAAATTTTTAGTGCAAATATGTCTGCTTATCCCTACTAGTCAATGAGACTTACTTATACTTAAAAAAAGAAAAGCCTTATCTTTAACAAAGATTTTGTTAAAAGTTAGTTAATGGGCCGAAAATTTTCCATTTAAATATCAAAGGTTTTTCCATTTTTCTTTAAATTGAGGTAAAAGAAAAGAAGTGCCTTGGGATCAAGAACTGCCTCAAAATTAATGAATGAATAAATGAATAAATGGTTAATTCAAGATTTAAAACAAGCCCTAATTTCTGATGGTTACTTTTCCAAATACTCAAGCTTACTGGTTTTTCAAGGCCATTTTTGAAGGTGTGTAAAAAATACCAGCTCACTTTTGCAACTATAGAAGCAGATCTAATGTGGTGGAAGGAGGCACTTTGTTTTGGGAAGCTGGTTTGGGCCTTTCATTTTATTCTGCAAGAAACAATAGCCCAGTTGGGTTTCCAGTTAAGAAGGCCAGCATCTAATTGTAAAAGGATCTTAAAGCTACCGCAGCTGGGCTGTGTGGAGAATAGAAGAGCAAAAGTAGACGTAGGGAGATAAGTTTGGAGGTATTTCTTGTGGTCCAAGAGATGATTATTTACATTTAGAGTATTAATTTAATTTTTCATCAGTGATTATTATTCCCAGAGGTAACATTTATATTATTAATTTTTACAGTTATTCCTGTGAATTAACCTTTTTCCTTCTCAAAGTTGATTCTGTTGCTATTTCAGTGTGATTTTTTTTGCTACTACATTTTTGTTCTTTAACATCTTTATTATTCTAATAATTTATTCCTGTAATAATTTATAAATTTCTGTACAGTAACTTCTCAGAATCATCCTAATTGAATATTTTTATAGAATTGTTTTAACAAATACTATAATATCATATAGACTGTAGAATTTAATAGATCCAACATTGTTTCTAAAAAGCTACAAAAGATACATTTGCTAGTATAAAGTTGATAACATGTTACCACAAATTAAAATATGAATAGCTTTTTAGAGATTTGTAGGTTTTCTGTTTGCGTATCTATTTATTTCTTAAAGTAACTTTAGTAACCATAAATGAAATAATTTAAAAATTTTGGTAAGGAAGATTCATAAATAAAGTAACATTTCCCTTGTGCATTATTTTGCCTAGCTTATTGATACACTATCTGCTGATTATTGATAATATCTAGCATTTACTAATCACTTATTTACAAAGTACAATGTACTAAATTTTATAGATTTCATAAAACTTTTGTCTCATTTTTCCTTAGTTAAAATGAGTATTTTGGTTCAGTTGCTATTGTAATATGGGTCTCTTCATAATTCCAGAGAAAAAATGTAATTAAGAATAAGTTTCAGGGCGCCTGGGTGGCTAAGTCGGTTAAGTGTCTACCTTCCACTCAGGTCATGATCCTGGAGTCCTAGGGATCTGTGGAGCCCCTCATCAGGCTCCCTGCTCATCAGGGAATCTGCTTCTCCCTCTGCCTCTCACCCCTAATGTTCTCTCACATGCGCTCTCTCTCTCTCTTTCAAATAAATAAGTAAAATCTTTAAAAACATTTATTAACTACTTTTAGTTTCCATTCCTTTAATATTTGGGTAAAAGTATTCTAAGCAAGCTACCCGATATCATCAACAGTAATCAGAATATTGATTTCTCACAATGCTCATCTAAAAATCCAGTTGAATTGAGCACCCATAATTTTCAGCAAGCACCTCTAATATGTGGTTATTTTAAAAACAAATCATTCAATCCTACAAACTTTAGGTTAAAAATCTTTGACACAAGATTATAATTCACCTTATAAAGGTAAACACACATCTTTTATTTAGCTTCTATTGGCCATGCCACAGAATGAAAATAAAATACGATTTCTGGTGTGAGTGACCTTTTTGTGTATCTGTTACTGACCAAGTAATGACTTGTAGAACATGCAAGGCTTTGCTGAAATAACCAATTTCCTACTTAGTGTGAGAATGCGTTATTCATGCACAGGTTTTATGATATGGTCAGTGTTTAGCTCAAATTAAAATTTGATTAAAATTTCAATAATACCAATAGCTCTGTCTACAATATATTGTAGAGTCAGGGTCCCAAAAGCCGAAAAGAAGAATCCCCACTCACTTTAGCATCTTGGCTTCTCTGGGTTCTTAGAATAGAAGGAAGTGGAACAAGTGTCAGCTTTAGGAGTGGGAACTCTTGGGGTTGAATCTTGCCTCTGCCATCTACCAGCTACCTGTGTGACTGGGCAAAACTCAATTTCCTCTGGTGTGAAATGATAATAGCTCCTCATATAAAAGCACTTAGCACACTGTTTGGACTGAATAAATCCTGAATACATAGTGGTGATTTTAACAATAGCAAATACGGCATTTAAAATTATGTTTTTAAGTTGGTCAGGATCCTTTCAGATAGAAAAACAGTATTTAGGAATTATGAGTAGGGGAGGGTTGTGGGTGTGCATGGGGGAAGCATCCAGTTCTTTAAGGGGTGACATTAAACAACATCATTCACAGATCACTCTCCTGGCAACTTCCTAAAGCCGTAAGAGTTAAAGGGTAAAATAATGTCAACGTTTGTGAGCGCTTTTATGTTTAAAAAGTAGCATCTTCCGTGCTCATATCCATAAAGAAAAATAAAATTTAATTAGTAATATTTAAGAAAATGTTTTACTTGAGAATCATCAAGGGCCAAATGAACATTTCTTCTTTTGATGACTCCACAGGGATCTTCGGAACCTAGTGATTGAAATGGTTTTGTCTACAGACATGTCAGGTCACTTCCAGCAAATTAAAAATATAAGAAGCAGTTTGCAGCAGCCTGAAGGGTAGGTTATTTTCTTCCATCATGTTGAAGGTCCGTGGGCTTAGACTCAGAAAAGACTGTAATTGGTTACTTTGGTCTGATAATTTGAACATGTCCTTGGTTTGACAGGATTGACAAAGCCAAAACTATGTCCCTGATCCTCCATGCGGCAGACATCAGCCACCCAGCAAAATCCTGGCAACTGCACCACCGCTGGACCATGGCCCTGATGGAGGAGTTTTTCCTACAGGTGCCTCCTTCACAAATGTGCAAATGTTTTTGGAAATAGTGACTATGCGTATTGACATGCACCTTTTTAAATGCAGAATCCAGGACTTGTGACTTACTATTATCAACTGGCCACAACACATTCTTGGGACATTAAGCAGAATTTATCAGTCTTTCAGATAAATGTATTTCATAATCCTATGTGGTATAATATATGTTTTAAAGCGAGTCAAGTCTTGGATCTCAGATGCTACCCTTAGGAAAGAAAGAAACAAACAAATCAGCATTGTTGTCTGCTATTAAGAGGTAAAATGCTAGAGTAGAGAGAGCAAATATCTTTCATCATAAAATGCAAAAGGGGAGGATATGCAGCACTGCTGTATACATCTTGTTGGTTAAAATTTAGTCATGTATACTCAGTTGCAAGGGAGGCTGAGAAATGTAGTTTTTTGCTGGGCGGACCTATGCCTAAGTAAAAACTAGATTGTTATATGAAAAAGCAAGCTTGGACATGGGGAATGGCCAGTGCTCTCTACCACAAGTATACTTTTGTTTTGTTTTTTTTTAAAATAGTATCCCTGTTCTATTTCTACTTACACCTGAGTTACCACAATACAAATGTGATGCTAACCACCCAGAGTTAGCATCAGTTCCCAAAGTTAAAGGCTCAGTTTTCCATAAGAATGGCTTCACTTCAAGACGCCAACCTCAAGTGGGGCCCTAGGACACCAGCCCTTCTGACCACTTGTTATAAATTCAGGGGTTCCCATGACCCTCCTCAGGTTTGACAATTTGTTGCAGTGACTCAAAGAACTCAAGAAAGCACTATACTTATGGTTATAGTTTTATTACAAAGAATACAATAAGGAATAGCCAATTGACATTTTACCTATTCTGAAGACATGAAGACTGAATATATTACTATATTTGGAGGACTCTGGTTTCTGTCTCCCATTGTCAATGATTATGGTTTCACTTTAAAAATAGCATTGCATAGTCCTAGAGAAACTTACTGAGTAGCATCTTCCAAATTTAAGTATTTTCATACTAAAAATAGTTTAAACATATTTTAATACATTGTGTGGTAAAAAAACAAACAAACAAAAAAAACACCACAAATGTTAAAATCTATCCAGTTCTACAGGGCAACTGTGTGCTATGGCCAAATAAAAATTATAATTTCATATACTCAGCCAAATATTAACTAGAAAATGGTAAATCTAGAGAGAACTTAGAGATCTTTAAGAACACCTTTCTCATAGTAGAGATGAAAACAACAGAAATAAGAAGAGATAAAATGACTTTGTTCAGGTTAAGAAAAATTTTTTAAATATTTTAAATGATCATGAAAACACAACTTTGAAATTTTGTCAGATGCAGTTAAAGCAATGCTTAGAGGAAATTTTATAGCCTTAAATGCTTATATTAGAAGAACAAAAGTATGTATCAATCATCTGTGTGTCCACCTAAATAAGCCAGAGTTAGGAAAATTAAACCTAGTTGATTGAATAAAGTAACAAATATAAAGTTGATTGAAGGAAGTAACAAATATAAAGCTGATTGAAGGAAGTAACAAATATAAAAGCAGAAATCAATGAAATAGGACAAAGACAAACAATAGCAAAAATTAACAAAGAAAGCAGTTGGTTCTTTGAAGAAATAATAAAATTATTAGCAACTTTAAAAAGAGAAAAAACCCACAAATTATAAATAAAAAAGAAGTTATCATTATAGACCCTACATGTAGTAAAAGGATAAGGAATATTATGCACAATTTATGCCAATACATTTGACAATTTAGAAGAAATGTCAAATTCTTTGAAAGATATAAATTACCAAAACAAACACAAGAAAAAAACTGTAATTTGTATATCCATGTATTTATTTTTAAACATTGAATTTGTAATTTAAACTCTTTCCATGAAGAAATATTCAGGCTTAGGTGGTTTCAATTCTTAATTCTCATTTCAGTTCTCAATTCAGTTGAGAGATGGTGAGTTCTCTCAAGCTTTTCAGAAAGAAATAATGCCGGTTTTAACACAGAGTGAGAGGGAAAATTATCAGTATAACCCTGACAAAACCTGACAAAGATTTTGCAAGTAAAGAAAATTACATACCCATATCTGTCATGAACCTAGTTGGAAAATTCCTTTAAATGTTAGCAAATCCAATCCAGCGATATAGTAAAAGAGTACATATTAGACCTGAGTTGATTTAATATTAAAAAATCATTTGGGGCACCTGAGTGGCTCAGTCGTTAAGCTTCTGCGTTGGGCTCAGGTCATGATCCCAGGGTCCTGGGATGGAGCCCCACATTGGGCTCCCTGCACAGCGGGAGGCCTGCTTCTCCCCCTCCCACTCCCTCTGCTTGTGTTCCCTCTTTCTCTGTGTCTCTCTCTGTCAAATAAATAAATAAAATCTTTAAAAAAATCACTTAAAGTAATTTACTATACTAAGAGAAAAAAGAATCCTACTATCATGTCAATAGATGCAGATAAGGCATTTGACAAAATTCAAAAGAAACTAATTACAAAAACCTTCTGCAAACTAGAAATAGGGGACCTCTCTCAACATGGTAAAAAGTGTCAATAGCTTTCATAATACTTCCTGGTGAAATATTGAACACTTTCATGCTAAGTTCAAGATATCTGCTCTTACCACTTCTTTTCAACATGGCATTTGAAGCTCTAGCCATTAAAATAAATAGAAGAAAATAAAGTATAGATTGGATATAAATAAAAAGAACTGTCTTTATTCGCAGAAACATGAGCTTCTACAAAGGAAATGTTAAGGAATCTCTGAAAAGCTACTAGAACTGATGAATAAGATTAACAGAGTTGTAGGATCAATTGTAGTTCTGTATGCTGGCAACAAACAACTTGGAAATAAAAATTTCAATACAATATGATTTATAATAGCATAAAAATAAAAAGTATTTGAGAATATATTTAATTAAATGCATATAAAACCTAAACACTGAAAACCACAGGATATTGTTGAGAGAAGATTTTTAAAGACCTATCTATGTAGATTGAAAGGTATACCACATTAAAGGATTAACATGTTAAGATGTCAATTCTTCCAAAATTGATTAATACACTTAACATAATCTTTATCAAAAATTGTAACAGACTTCTTTGTAGCAGTTGAAAGAGAGCTGATCCTAAAATCAACGTGGAAATGTAAGAATCTGAAAACGGCCAAAACAATTTTGGAAAAGACTGAGAAAGTTGGAGAATTTATACCTCCTTATCACAAGATTAGTAGAAAGCTAGAGTCGTCAAGACAGTGTGTTATTAACATGGAGACAGGCAAGTAGGCCGATAAAATAGAATAGTGATCCCATACTTATATGGTCATTTGATTTTCTACAAAAGCAACAAAACATTTCAATGGAGAAAGGAAAGTTTGTAAATAGCAAGGGAATGATACTTATTAAATATAGGGGAGAAAAGGAATCTTGTGCCTTATATAAATATTAATTCAAGATTGACCCCAGTCTTAATATAAAACATGACTCTAAAGGTTCTAGAGGAAAACTTAGGAGACTATGTCTCTAATCTTGGGGGTAGCCAAATATTTCTCAGAAAAGACACAAAAGCACTGCCTAAAAAAAGAAAAAAATAGGCAAAGTGGACAAGAGCAAATTTTAAAGCGTCTTCTCTTCCAAAAATACCATGGAAGCAAGCCATAGAGTGAGAGAAAATATTGGTACTACAAATATCTGTCCAAGGGCTTGTTCACAGATTGCATAAGGAACTCCTACAAATCAGTAATTAAAAAAAAAATCAGACTAATTTGATCAGACACCTCATAAAAGAAAATACACAAATGGGTGATAAATACATACAAGTATTCTCATTCTCATTGCTTATCAAAGAATTGCACATTAAAGCACACAATGAGATACATCTACATCCTCACCATAAGAGCTAAAATTAAAAGGACTGAAAATATTAAGTGTTATTGAGGCTGTGGAGCAACTGGACTCCAGTTGCAAGTCCAGGCATTGCAAGTGGAAGTATAAGTCATTACAACCCATCTGAAAACTACTGGTTAGCAACCACTAAAGAGAAACTCACTATCCCCTATGACCCAGCATGTCCACCCACAGGTGTATAACTCAGAAAAACCGGTGCTTATGCCCACCAAATGTGGAGTAGTCATAACAGTATTACTTATGATAGCCCAATATTAGAAACAGTCCAATTTACATCAATACTAGAAATGGTATAGTCATACAATGGAATACCATGCAACAATTAAAAAAATGGACTAATAACACAAACAAGGATAAATCTCAAAGAAATACATACTGTATGATTCCATTTATATGAAGCTCCAAACTGGCAAAATTAATCTCTGGTGATTGAAATCTGAACAATGGGTGCCTACAGGAGGTGAGATTCACTGGAAAAAGTTAAGGGAATCTCTGGAGGTGGTGGAAATGTTTCATATATTAATTGACTGTTAATTACACAAATGTGTTCATAATTTATGTTTTTAAGATTTGTACGTAAGTTTTTCCTTGACTTAAAAAAGGATATATCAGAATAAAGGTGCTTCATCAATAACTTGAACCATAAAAAACAAAAACCAGTGTTAAGTCTCTAATAAATTCCAGAGACTCTTTTTTTTTTTAAAGATTTTATTTATTTGACAGAGAGAGACACAGCGAGAGAGGGAACACAAGCAGGGGGAGTGGGAGAGGGAGAAGCAGGCTTCCCGCTGAGCAGGGAGCCCGACATGGGTCTCAATCCCAGGACCCTGGGATCATGACCTGAGCTGAAGGCAGACGCTTAATGACTGAGCCACCCAGGCACCCCAAATTCCAGAGACTCTTGAAAATTACTGTTAGATATCCAAACAGTATCATGATTTGTATTATCCTTGTCTTTTATTGATTTCAAACCAAAGAATACCTTACAGAACCGTGAGAATAATGAGTTTAATGAAATTGAGTCCAGATGTTTTTGAAATCCACTAACTTCTTGAGTTTTCTAGAAAAGTGACTGATACTAA